TGCCTATTTCTCGTAGTTCGCTTCGCGTTGCCGCAGTATTCGCCACAATACACATCTTATTAGAATGGGATTATTTAATCGATGCAACTACGCGAACTCCAAATTTATACCATCATAACGCGCCGATCACACGTTCAATATATGATGTAATATATAGATCAAGAGCCCAATTCATGGTATTCGAAATACTGATGGATCGTGGGTGCTTGCGGCACATTCAATATTAGCTCTAATCCAGTACTCCATGAACTTACAGGTTTTTATATGAACTTGCAGGAAGCTACGAGAAAAATGATCCCGTACTCCAAATTCCTCAAAAATCCTGTAAATGAGTGATTTTTGGAGAGATATGTAGAGAATGAAGTTGCAATATCTTATACGGGGGACAGATATATGGGCCCGTAGTCATAGAGAAGTTAGAAAAAGGTTTTAACGATTAAAATTGTGTTTTATTGTAATCACGATTTAACTCTTTCGTATTCTACTTAAAATGCATTTTATGGCAAAAACAGAAATTAACCTTTAAAATGAGGAGAACGCGGTTTTAAAATGGTAAAATAAAGGTCTAAATTTTGTTTTGTTGTTGAAGTAGTAAACGCAATAGCATCCAGCTTCGGTACCCAACTCCGAGCGATTCCAAACAACTTTTTTTTTATTTTATATTTTAACATAAAGAATATTTTATTTTATTTTATTAAATTTTGTTTTTTATCTTTTTTTTTGTTAATGGCATTTCATATAATTATTTCGTTATTAATCAAATCCTGCGGTATCCTCTCCGTGTCTAGGGTTCGTTACAATAAATTTGTAGGTTTTGGGGCTCTGGTAAATCGTACTTTATTGGCTAACTTATAGCCTATAAACATATAACAAAAAAAAGATCACTATAGTAAATTTCAGTAACGTCGCTTCCTGCGATTGTGTAACGGCTCCGTGTTCCGTGGCTTGCAGCGTGGTGGGCAGCGCTCTGCCGACGCCGATGGGTGGCGCGCTGCTATCGTTCTCTAATCGCGTGGGTATGCAGCGCTCTTGATAATATCGGTGTCGCGCCGGTGATTGGCGCTCTAACAACGTCGGTGAGAAGCGCTCTGGTGACGTCGCAGGTGACGCGCTTGGGGCGCTGCTGACGTCGCTCTGCTCACGGCGGGTGAGCTGGTGTCGCCCGTACGCGGTTTCACGAGGGGCTGTGGTGAGAGCGTGTGTAGCTTGTGACGCTGCCACTGGGAAAGGTGACAAACACCCCGATGAATCAAGACTTCCTCCACGCATTTATGCCACCACTTGCATCGTGGCTCCGTTGTTATTACTTTGTGGTGGATATACCCCGCGGAGGTGTGCTCTTCGACGTTTCCACTGGGGTCTTCATGGTCGACCCTGTTAATCCTCTCGCTCCTGGGTCTGCCCCTCCTTCGGTGTTTTCTCTTGGCCACCTTCTACCGGGGTAGCTGTTGTAGAAAATTCTTTTGTACCCTGCATGCCGCATCAGATTTTGTACCGCGATCACATAATCCTTATACTTCTCCCGTGGGTGCTGCCTTCTCTGCCGTATGTCGTCCTCGAGGCGTTCGAAGTACCAAACTGGCAGAAAAAAACGTAAGAAGTCGCGCTTGAAGGTCGTCCACTTTTTCCAGTGTTCGTTGATGTTGCATACACTTCAGCCAACTCCACCAATCGCTCCATAAAAGCTACCGAGTCTCGTCCACCGTCGTATTTTGCAACGTGTGGGTCGGCGCCTGGTTTTCAGGGTTCGCTGTACCTACGTTCGGCCCGACGGTTGTTGGCGGCGGGTGCTGGTGCATTGGTGGCTGGTGCTGGTGCGTTGATGGCTGGTGCTGGTGTAGTGGTACCGCCAACTGGCTCTGTGTCGTGTTTTCCACAAAAGTAGTCGTACTCTCCTCACGTTCATCCGGGGGTATTGGTGCCCTCTGCTCATCCTCGTTTTCCGAGGCAGCCTCGCTGCCAAGGAAACAATTTTGTACTGCTTTTTTACTCGTCAAAATTGCTGTGGATTTTATTTATTTAGCTTTAAAAATATCAGCAATATAATTAATTTTTATGTTTCTGCATGAAAACCTTAATTTGGACAAATCAAAATAAATATTAAACCGGCTGATTGTCAACGCGCGCAAAAAGATAGGAGTTGGCCATCTTTCTATGAGACATGCTTTGTGCATTTTCATACATTACATCTTATCTGTCACGCAACGCGAAGCAAAAGTTTTATCTGACATCACCTTAACGCTCTGGCCGCGCCGGTGAGTGGCGCTTTGCTGACGGCGGTGAGTAGCGCTCTTGGAGACGCTGTTGATGTCGCTCTGCCGACGGCGGTGAGTAGCGCGCTTTGGGGCGCTGCTGACGGCGGGTGTCGCCCTTACGCGGTTTCAAGAGGGGTTGTGGTGACAGCGTGTGGCGCTGCCACTGGGAATGGTGACGAACAGCCCGACGGTTCAAGCCGGCGCAGATAAAATCGCTGCTTGCCAAAAGCCGCCTGTTCACGACCACAGTCTTGGGCTGACTGACTGGTTTCTGGCCGTTATACTCCTTTAATAGGCTGTGTGCTTAGTGTTGCGTGGTTGTACAGCTAAATGTTGCTGTGTGATGTTGCGTTGTCAAGGCAACGAAGAGCTGCGTTGCCGAAAGCTTTCGCTGGATAATCGTCACTTTACCCTAAAAAAATAGCATTTCGGCCAAAAAATCGTAATCCTTTTTTTTTTAACAAAATAAAATATACAAAGGAATTACATACAATGAGTTGTATGCATAAAAACTAAGCAATTCTTTTCTTAAAATTGCATACCTTTTACTTAAATTTATTTGTACAAATTCAGTAAAAGATCTGAAATTTTAAGAAAGAGCATCTGCTTAGGTTTTATGCATACGGCCCAATAAATATGACCACACATTACCAAACCAAATGGAACCTACACTGCATATGGGTTAATAAAAGTGGATTTGCAATCGTTAACGACAATTTAAAACACAACTGCTTTTCAATAGTTGAACTCCATTGGTTTTAAGTTTTTGAAGATCTTGATCCAGTTTTAAATTAGGGGTAATTTTTCCCCATGTGTTTTGTTTGTGTAAAATTATTTTATTATCGGTGTACCGGATACCGAATTATCGTGAAGGAAGCTTGATAATTTTTTTGGTAGTTGGTAAACTGCAATCAGCTGTTCGATATTTATTCAATTTTAAATCCGTCCGCTGCCGAAAGGCATTACGCATATGAATAAGTAAAATTCATTAAATTTTCTGTTACAATTTATTTTTTTTAGGAAAAAAGCTACGAATCCGCTGTTGATAAACAAAGTTTTCCAGACTAACAAAAGAAAACTGAAAACGACGTTCAAAGTTGATACAATTACCGAGTGTCAACCAGAAATTTACCAAAACTACCACAATTGATGTGAAGACCCTTAGTGAAACATAAGCATTTACTAACTGATAGATAATATTGACTGGACAAATTCCCTCTCCTACTTTTCTGTCTCTTTCAAATCAGCGTGAGTAGTACAAAATAACTATTTGGTTACAATTCTATAACAAATTTAATATAACTAAAAGCACGGTTGTAGAATAATACTAGATAAATGCATGGTTGTATTTTGGATTACGTTTTCCTGTAACAAATTTTTTACATACATACATATGTAATTTAGTGGAAAAACTAAAATAAAAATCGTCATTACGGGAGAAAAATCGTCAAATCGTCATTGAGCTAAAAAAACGTCAAAATGTAGACGAAATCTTCTGCAGGCTCTATCGGAGAAACAGCCGCTAAATTTATTAAAAATAAAAAAATATTGATGACAAAATCGATAAAAATATCGACAAAAAAACTATAAATATATCGATAACAAAATCGACAACATAATCGATAGCAAAATCGATAATAATATCGCTGGCAAAATCGATAACAATATCGATAAAACAACCGATAACAAAATCTATAAAAATATCGATACGTTCCGAAAATATCGATAGCAAAATCAGTAACAATATCGATAACAAAATCGATAAAAATATCGGTAAAAAGCGATAATAATATAAAGAGCAAAATCGTTAACAATCAATAAAAATATCGATAACAAAACCGATAAAAATATCGACTACAAAATCTATAAAAATATAGATAACAAAATCGCTAATAATCGATAACAAAACTGGAAAAAATATCGATGAAAAAATCGCTAAAAATATCGATACCAAAACCGATAAAACTATCGATAACAAAATCGATAAAAATATCGATAACAAAATCGGTAAATAATCGATAATAAAATCGATAACAAAGTTGATAACAAAATCAATAAAAATATCGATAACAAAATCGATAAAAATATCGGTAAGTTCCGAAAATATCGATAAGTTCCGAAAATATCGATAGCAAAATCAATAACAATATCGATAAAAATTTCGATAACAAAATCGATAAAAATATCGATCACAAAACCAACAAAATATCGATTATTATATCGATAAGAGCCGAGAATCCCTAAAATCTCTAAAATCCCGAAATAGTTCCCAGATTGAGTATCTGTGCCTC